TTATTATTATTATTATTATTATTATTATTATTATTATTATTATTATTATTATTATTATTATTATTAGTATTAGTATTTCTCCTGTTACTCTTTCGTTCCTGTCTGGAGTTTTATTCTGTCCATCTCTCATGGTACATTAACAGCTTATGTTCATTAAGAATCAATGCTGATAAACAAATAAAAAACTAAAAAAAGAAGATTTGTTTGACCTCCGATTGGTGGAATGACTTGATCCAGTAGTTTCATGCTGGTCCTCTTCCAGATCTTCTTTATGATTCCCCTCAGCTCCTCATTGGCCTGCTCAAAGTTACCTGGAGATGATAATAAAACACAATCAGTTCACCAGAAAATAACAATATTCATAAGGGCTGTTCATAATATCTCCTCCCATTTATGAGGAAATCCATTAGGTTAAAATGGGGGGATAAAATACAATCAGTTCACCAGTAAATAACAATATTCTGTTCATAATATCTCCTATTTATGAGGAAATCTATTGAGTTAAAAACTTGACAATAGCTATTACATCTCTTGCCTAATGAAAAGCAATTTAGTTTTTTTATCGTATTTAAATGTATTATTTATATTGTGAGCTAGTCACACACTAATCTGTGTGTTGGGGTAAAAATATAAGTGTACTCCTTCAGAAAGTACAAAATGTAAACAGATTAATTCATGAAAATTGTAAAAAATGAGAAATTGTACATTCTTATATGAAAGACCAAAGAAGTATATTCATTTTTTAATGTATTTTGTTCAGAAGAATGTAGACCAGGGGGGTCAAACTCCAAAACTCAGGGGGCCAAAATGTAAAACCTGAACAAAATAAAATAAGATAAAATAATTAAATTAAATAAATGAATCTTTTAATATGGAACCAAACGAATTTTGCTTTAACACTGAATATGGAACAAGCAACTCTTATTACATTATATATAACTTAATAGTTATAGACATGCTAAATCAAATTCCAAATAAAAAAACACATCAATGGCATTCATCAACTGGGAGTGAACTGGGTTTTTATCAGAGTGAACTGGGAGTGAACTGGTGTGTATCAGAGTGAACTGG